AAATGGGTAATGAAGAAAAACTTTAATATAAGTTTAACATGACAGCAAATGTACAACGTTTCGACAAGGTTTTTGTCATCATGTCATGTTAAACTTATATTAAAGTTTTTCTTCATTACCCATTTAAGCCGTCTCCAGCCATTAATACCTACCTTGTTGAGAAATAATATAGATATCAAACAGTTAGTGATACCCACAAAGTTCGAAAATAGTTCAGTTATACAAATCAAAATAATTTATATATTAAACATTGTTTTCATTCTGAATGACCAAGTAATGGGGATTCCATGTCCTCAAAACAAAGCCGCGAATATTTCAGTTAGAAGACATTTCTTCACCAATAAAAAAGAAACCACCAGGTCCATCATGTTTAACTCTTGGTTTAGTGTAGTGTATCCTAGTAAACAACAGTATTTCTTTTGGTGAAGGACCGCAATCTTAAACATATTTCAGTTTAAGACCAAACCAAGCATATTATCTACCAATATCAAGTAAACACAATATAAACTACGTTTTTTTCTTGCATTGTGGTCTAAACTAATCACCGCAGTCTTTACCACACCTACAAACATTTTAGGATTTAAGCCAAAATCTATATTTGTCTAACTAAAATTGTACTCTGGTATATTTTAAGTGTCTGTTCGCAACTAAACATAAAAACAGGTTTGTGTTAAACGTTAGACACATATGAATTAACATACAAAATACTTATTTCAATGTTACATATTAAGGAATAACTTCGACCGATTATCCCGTGAACTGGAGTACATGAACAGCCTACTAGCACTATATATTTGAGTCAGAACAACTGAAGTGATGTCACGAAAGTAAACGCACTAAAAACAGTGTAATATAAGTAAAAACAATAGGTAACAATGACATTTTTTGTTACCTTAGCACAACTAAAACTTCCAATTGCTATGCTTTTTCTGCTAGTACTGCCATCAAGAAATGAGACAACCCTTAGTTATAATGGAAGAAATATAACACAGTGATACATATTCTGTAAATATCTATATGTAGCCCATGTGAATCTCTTCCACTGTATTACAACACAGCTCCATTACTGTGGTTCATCAGACCATCAAGACCAAAAAATACGACATCATTGTATTGCAACACAGCTCCATTACTGCATTTCACAGACTAACATAGAACCATCAGTCCAAAAAGTACGACCTCGATGTATTACAACACAGCTCCATTACTGTACTTCACAAACTGATATAGAACCACCAGACCAACAAGTATGATCTCACTGTATTACAACACAGCTCCATTACTACACTTCACATATTTATAGAGAACTACAACACCCCCAATTACTACCTCGCTCTATTATAACACAGCTCCATTATTGCACCTTACATACTGATATAAAGCCACCAAACCAACAAGTACGACCTCGCTAACACAGTTCCATTACTGCATTTCACAGATTAATATAGAACCACCAGACCTACAAATACGACCTCGCTCTATTAAAATACAGTTCCATTACTGCATTTCACAGAGTGATATAAAACTACAAGGGCCACAAGTACAACCTCAAAGCATGGCTAAACATAAGGTCAGCTATACTTACAGGCAAAATAACTCAGGATGTTCATCAACAGTCGTTAACAAAATAGTACCCAGTGATTTTTAAACTTATGACGAAGTGGGCTGAATAAAGTGAAACAACAGGACCCCTGGACTTTACCTTGAGTGAATAATTTAAAATATTGTGACCACCTGTGCCTTTCTATTTACAAAGTAGCGGTCTGAATAATAGGAAACAACAGAACTACCTAGACCTTGTACTGGGTGAATAATAGAAAAGAACACGACTGCCTGTACCGTAACACTTGTTTAAACACTGCTTTTATCTTTTCTTCAGTTAAAACACCTAAATAGCACGCATTTAAAAACTGAAATTTGGAAACCTGTTTGATCTATCAAACCTCTTTATTTAACTAAATGTAAAAGAGGTGTTACACTGTGGAGAATGAAATAAATGCACACACACACTCACACACATACCTATGTTGTCAGATGATTTAGAGCAGTGTAACTCTATGTATGATTAAACAATCTGGTAACACAATTCTGGTAGCACATAGTTCAATTGAAATAGTATTCTGGAGAATAGAGCAGTAAACATTATACTTTAATATGCTGTATAAATTTCTAGTAAAGCAAAATTGTAAGCACAGAACAAAAAGCAAAAGCAACTTTATAAATCTGGCATATTGAAATAATCCGGTTATGTAATTTACAAGTGAGGCTTGATCGCTGCGTCATTTGTAAAGTTACTTAGGCTTACAACTTAGGAGGCTTAATCGCTGCGTCATTTGTAAAGTTACTTAGGCTTACAACTTAGGAGGCTTGATCGCGCGTCATTTGTAAAGTTACTTAGGCTTACAACTTACAAGTTACAAAGTGTCCAAGCATGCAATAAAAAAAACATTAAGGAGGAAATCAACTACTTTGTTATCGTTACTTGGACTGGGCTTCGAATTATTTTTACCAGATAATTTAAAAGAACCCGACAACAAAAAAACACAATATCTATAAGAATAACAACAACAAAATAAAAGACAATTACTAGAAATTCCAACTCCACAAGAATGTTCAAATTGTTAGTTGTTCTTTCATGTTAACGTGTACTACATTTTAGGTCGTGTAATCCATTTATAATTACAAAATTCACTTAAAGGAATAAAATACCAATGTCATCAGTTTAGACCGCTTGTTAACTCCTGCAAATTAAAAACTTGAGTGTTTAGGACGCTCTTACCAAAGCCTTTGAACATCGTCTGCTTCTCACGTGTTTAGTTGACAATACAGCATTGGCGAGTGGACTGAGCAAGGGCGGATTAATATACACTTGTGGTGCTCCTGTAATTGTATTTTTCTAACTTTGTATTCTATTATTAAAGGACAAAAATACGAATTGTTTAATTTCTAATGAATGGATCTGTTATAATCTGATTCTTCTAAGTGTTGATATTAATACTGAAATGCAAAATAATTGAAACTCAGTTTCTTTGCGTAAGAATATACCGCCTTGGCGTCTATGTGCGGGCCTTTGATGTACACGACGTGCGCGAAATCCGAGATAAAGCTGAATAAGTAACTCCTTCATCGTTAGTGTAGTGAGAGTAACGCTTCGTGTTTGATATGTTCATTCGAATGTCGATATAAATAAAAGTTTTGCCTAGAAATAGCTTCGCTTGGAGCTGTCTCTGGTATTGATATGGGAAAAATGTACCGTACCTTTCTCGTTGGTTTTCTCCAGACAATGGGTAAGTAAACGGTATTTTAAAATAGTAATTTCGGAAGAAGTGTAAAGTAGTTTAAACAAGGGTGTTTTAGTCGCAACTGTTATCAATACGAAACTGTTGGTGGGCAACATGCTTCTCGGCTTAGGTTTTTAGATAAAGAGGGTGTACGCTCGTTAATGTAAATACACTTTGTACAATTATTGTTGCACATGAAACATTTGAACTTTTTTTTGTCTTTTTTAAAATTAATTTTATTGTTGATGATGATTAAGGGAAAAAAGGTTCGTCAAAACTTGATTTTTGTAAGTAGTTAATTATATCAAACTTATTGGCCATTGTATCTTAACCATTTTCCCATTACTGCCTTATAATTATTCCAAAATCAGAGAAGCATGCAGTCTGGATTAAATCATTCCAAAATCCAATTATTCCAAAAAGGTGTGCAGTTTCATGGACAACAACTTTGTAAGAAGTCAGTTTCTAACCTATCCTACGATTGTTTTTGGTTCGAATATATAAACATTTATAACTACCCCTTCTTTTCTTTACAGCTTTTATATTGCATTTTATTTTCTGATTTTGTCTTAGATGCAATCTATTGTTTCTAATTTGTCCATTTTGTTCCGTTAATTACTCCAGTACTACTAACTAAATAGATCTCTTGTCACCGCGTTCGTCACTTTATGGGTAATTGCCATGTTACACATGTGCAATCGTAAAATTGCCACAGGACCTTATTGGTTTTATTATTGTTTAATATTGTCTGGGAATTCGTTGCTTTAGGCTTCAATTTAGAACAAATTTTGGGAATACAAAACAGCAGGCTTCAGCTCAAATTAATCATCGATAAAGAATCGCCAGTCTTCTCTAGTTATTACAGGATATATCTGTCGTTATATATGTCAGCACGGTTAAAGACCTTGACATGTAAATTTAATATTCATCATCGTTCAGTTAAACCCCAAAACTACTGTAAACTTACTTTCTAGATTATCAATTAAACTATTTAAGATGTTTAACAAGTAACACATATATGACGCGGATCTAAATTTCTATATGGGTTATTTAGATATTAAGTAGACGGCGAACCATTTTTGTTAATATCTAAATAGTAGATCTGTCTGTCTACGTACCTGTCTGTTTATATATGCACGAAACTGTATATAATCAGTAAAACAAGTTTAACCACACGACCTAACTATATATTAAGTACTCTCAGTTTTCACTGGTAAGGAGTTTTACTTTGTATAACGTTTATTTTCTTGTTACATACATTAACCGAATAAATGAAAGGTGAACATCTGTATAGTGCGCGTAATTCATGTCTCCCAGCTTCTAAGAGATGATACTTCGGTAAAGGACCAAAACTTCAAAGGGAACATTTCATATTGCGAAAAAATAACTAAAAAAACCTAATATTTTATAATAAACACGATTTATAACACGGTGGTGGAAACTTAAGGAGTGTGATGTTAGTGTTTTGTTAGAAAAAAAGGCTCACAAAATCTTGTTTCTTGACGCTTTCGTTCTGCATGTCTTCATTTGATTCAACTGTAGGCTGTTACGTGTCAACGTCAACATAACGAAAATTGCGGTCACCGCAGATATTTTTATACGCCACAGATATCTGAGATCGAATTCGCAAACGTTCTTTGAAATATATCTCGGATTCTAGAATTGCATTTACAGAACGAACATGGAACATTTTCAGAATTTATAGAACGGTTTGGGAAGCTTTACGAACATAGTTCATGTCAGTAACCCGTTCTGTGGTATGATTTTACTATGTATATTATTTAATCGTTTTAGTACGTATAATTCAAGTTTGCAAAAACACGTAATCGAAACCACATGAAAATTACTTTTATTAAAATATTTCCTTGCACCTGTGGAAGACCTGGGTCACCTTCAATTTTCTCTTGCTGCAGAATAAAACAAAACGCACGATGTGTATCATGATAATTTACACGATGTAAATAAAAACCGGTTCTCTCAGCTATATTCATTAGCATGTAATTACTAACCATCTATTCTTTGGCTGCCTTCTAAAGGGTCCAATTTAATGGTTTATTTGGTAACTTTGGAGTTCATATAATAGTTATGAGCTAAAGTTTGTTTATTTGAATTAAGCACAAAATTACACGATGGGCTATCTGTTCTTTGCCCACCACGGGTTTCGAAACCCGGTTTTTAGCGTTGTAAATCCGGAGACTCGGTGTTTGATAATTATTATTAACAAGTGTTTCTGGTTAGTCTTACGAAAATTTCAGTATGAAGATAAATGAATCAGTAACGTTTCTATTGTAGTCCTCATTTAATGTATATGGGTAGTAAGTTTGGAAGTATATTTTGTGCGGGAATTTACGGCACAAGGTATTCTACCAATTCAAATCACACTCATAAAATAAATCTCGTTGTAGTTAGTCCACTGATAGGGTTAATAATCAAACAGAGTTCGGCTAATTTTCTTAAAATATTGGGGGAAAAAATGTTGGTAAAGATAAAAGTATCATGGGTACTAATACGATCGGAACCTGTACGATTATATTCTTGATGTCAGAGATGCATGTAAGTTTGTTGTACGTTAAAATATCAATTTCTATACTTGTTTCTTATTGCTCAAAACAATTAAAGAATAATTGGAACTTATAATACTATAGCTATGTCAATGTCAATTACTTCATCTGTTCACTATTACGTAAATCAGGCACCTGATAATCAATCGCATGATCTGAAACGTTAGTGATTGGTTAATTACAGCCTACGCTACGTATATAGGTCTGGAATGTCATTTTGTAACGAATCACAGAACTGAAACTACTCCGGATTGTTTATGAACCATGGCTAATCTTCACTTAATGCATTCGGATGTTTCACTCATGTGGATAGCCATCAAACGAAAGTAAGCAGGCCAACCATATCAAATTATCACAAATTGGTTAAAGTCTTTTAAATTGCAGTTAAACAATTTGAAATTACTTTGAAACAATGATACACTTCTCCTGACACATGAACAAGACAAGCCGTCATCCACAACAGAAGCACATAACTACTGAATGTCGATTCTGGTTCATTGCTACTGTAAAATACCTACTCCGAAATTGGATAAGATGTGCACAGTCAAAAATAGATGCTGTGTCTCAGTGTACAGGTTATTAGAAAGAAATTTCACAGGGTTATTATGTATATCAGACGCCCAGTGGTGTGAATTCTCCTGCAACAAAGCACAAGTCCACCACAAGAACCCGCCCTGTGATGTCCTTAGATATATTGGTTTCGGACTGGTAAATATAACGAAAGATTCAGCAGAAAATATATTGCAAAGTTAACTTCAATCCTGACAAAACTGAATTGAAACGAGAGGATAAACACGTCTATCTCATTAGATTGTTGAAAAAATCATTCGGAAAAGAGTGAAGAAATCAAACACTATATTAAGCATGTAGGGTTAAATCTTCCAGAGTGCGTTAATCACTTAGTTTATCTATAACTTTCATCAACAGATTTCAGGAGGACAGTCTTCAGGTATTTTTTAGACCTTTAGATGCCTGATGCAACTTAACAATTACTACCTATACTACCTATCGGTAATATAACATTAGGCCAGCTCTGCGTGATTCATGTTATCGCTGTATCGGTAGTAAAGTATTAGGCCAGCTCTGTGTCATTCATACCATCGCAGTACCGGTAATAAAGTATTAGGCCAGCTCTGCGTGATTCATACCATCGCAGTACCGGTAATAAAGTATTAGGCCAGCTCTGTGTCATTCATACCATCGCAGTACCGGTAATAAAGTATTAGGCCAGCTCTGTGTCATTCATACCATCGCAGTACCGGTAATAAAGTATTAGGCCAGCTCTGTGTCATTCATACCATCGCAGTACCGGTAATAAAGTATCAGACCAGCTCTGCGTGATTCATGTTATCGCTGTATCAGTAGTAAAGTATTAGGCCATCTCTCTGTTATTCATATTATCGCTGTATATGTAGTAAAGTATTAAGCCAGTTCTGCGTTACACATATCATTGCTGTATCGGTAGTAAAGTATTAGACCAGCTCTGTATAATTGATATCATTGCTGTATCGCTAGTAAAGTATTAGGCCAGCTCTGTATAATTTATATCATTGCTGTATTGCTAGTAAAGTATTAGGCCAGCTCTGTATAATTTATATCATTGCTGTATCGCTAGTAAAGTATTAGGCCAGCTCTGTATAATTTATATCATTGCTGTATCGCTAATAAAGTATTAGGCCAGCTCATTACGGAGATTATATGAAAACAGAGAACTGGCCAAGTGCTATAACTCTGATAGGGAAGATATATATATACAACACAGCTATGGCCTGATGCTAGAGTACTGATATGGAGGTGATATGAACAACAAAGAATTGGCCTAATAGTTTACTACCGATACAATGATGATGTGAATAACACAGAGCTGGCCTGATACTATTGTATTGATTCAGCGATGATATAAATAATATACAACTGGCTCCATACTAATATTTATTCCGATTAATTTAATATAAAAATAAAATATATGAATGACTGAATGGAAAAAATAAATAATTGATTGCTTTAAAAACGGTCCTATAAGTAAACATGATCATTTTGTTTCTACGTTTTATTTCGTTGGTAAACTTGTAATTCATCCACAGTTTGATAGCAAGGAAACAAAATAAGTTTTTATAATATATTTTCACGACCTTTTAATACCTCTGGGTGTTAAAAATTTTGTAAGATAACGTGGAGAAACAAAACTAATCTATTAAACTAAAGCTCTCACACGCGAGTTTTATCGCACATTCACTATTCTATATACAAACTGGCTACACAACAGAACATAGCTAATACAGAAAGAGAGATGGAGAAACATAAGTAAAAAATAAGAAACATATAGTTAAAACAACGCTATTAAAACGTTTTAAGTTTTCATAAGTTGTTCTTATGCTTTCTTTCTCCTCCCTGAATTTACTTTTATCTTCAGATCATAATACACTGTCTGACGTCGGTTTATTCCCATATAAGGTTTGACTTGAGTTGTTTCAAACCCTAATATCGAATTAAAAGGGAAACACTTATATAAACTGTGTAGGAGGAGTGACTAATTGATAGTATACTTCTATTCTGATCAGTAATTCACTAACTTTTATTATAAACTTTTGTTATACAGATTATAAAATCTGTAAAAACCTATGTTACTACTCAGAAAACATTATCGTTAACTTGTGTCCTAAGCAGGCTACTTACATAGATTAGAACTGAAGATTAACGTAGTAAATAGCGTAGACAATCTGATATGTCTGTCTAACCAGCTGTGTGTAATCTCATAAAAACAAACAGCGTAATGATTAGAATGTAGTAATTAATCAGGTGGACCAGTAGTGTAAATAAAAACTTATCAAGAGGATATCAATAAATATAACGAAAGGCGGGTATATACACTCATATTTATAAACATAACCTCATTGATCAGTCACTAATTAAATTAGAATAAGATTTATCAATAGCTTTACATAAAACAAACATTAAGAACAAACAAAAATCACCTTTATCACTGGCTCATGGAGACTGCATTTGGCACAGGGGAAAATGGTTAGAATGTAGCTTTACTCACTGCCTGACGTCGGTTTATTCCCTGTCTGTCTCTTATATATATAGACTATGTTCTGTTGAGGAATTTTGTGACTTCCAAGTAAGCATGAATAGATAAAAAGACGATGCGTAAAAAGATGAGGTTTATTTATTTTAACAATGGTAATTTTGTACCCACACCCCCTCAACTCAAGCATTGAGTTGGGTGTAAAATTATTCATATAACAAATTGAATATCAGCAGAAAATTGTGTGTGTATATATATATCCGCATGTAATCTAATACAGGGTATTTTAAATAAGGGATAACGATATACCAACTAACAAAGGGTTGTTTATTCTAGTGGAAGACTTCATATAGAGCTGTCTGTCTCTTATATATAGACTTTGTTCTGTTGAGGAATTTTGTGACTTTGAAGTAAGCATGAATAGATAAAAATATGATCGATGTTATAATGTTTTAACAGTTTATATTATGTTGATTCTAGTGGAAGACTTCATATAGAGCTGTCTGTCTCTTATATATAGACTTTGTTCTGTTGAGGAATTTTGTGACTTTGAAGTAAGCATGAATAGATAAAAATATGATCGATATTATAATGTTTTAACAGTTTATCTTATGTGTATTATATATATATTTACAGTGATAGTATGGTTGGCCGGTAGAACTCTAGGTCAAGACAGCTTTTACTTCAACCCTCATCCAAAGGGACAGACTGTCATCAATGGTCATTCTGTAATCCTCCGTTGTAACGTTTCCAACACAAATCACATAGTTTTCTGTTGGACACTTGACAGTCATCCAGTGCTAAACGGGACGAGAAGGTTCCAGGTAGGATCAAACTTGTATATCACCCGTGTTGATCGCCGTAAAGACAGCGGCGAGTTTAAATGTATAGCTACGAACGTGACCTCTGGTATCTCACTAGCCAGTCAAGGAGCCCAGTTGGATATCCAGTGTATGTTTTAATTTTTTATATATTAAAACTAAACCAACTTTACTACACATTCAGTAAAGTAGTGTGTATCTATCTATCTATCTATATATATATATATATATATAAGAATGACAAAATATTAACTGTTATGCTTGCCTGATTTGAAATGATGCTATTATACTAGTGTTTTTTTGGAGATTGTTAAAATTAGTAAAATATGACTGTCTAAACTGGTTTTATTCACTGAACAACAGAATTAAGTAGTCTAAACGTTTGTTGGCCAACTAAGGATATTGAATGACAAGATAAAGTTATGTTATATTATCAACGAATAGCAATATTTAACTGTCACTCGTATAGCACACCTACGGCCTCAAAGTGCAAACAACGGGACGCGAGCCATGAATTGTTAGATTCATAGCCCCAACACGTTAACCACTAGGCCACGCCCGGCCTCGTGTCTCTAGCATTCTACATATATTCATATTGGATCGCTAGAACTCTTAATTTTAAAACATAATTTTTTACTCATCTGTTTCTCCTTTGAACGTTTTCGAAACATTTGATATGCGCAATGTTTAGACGACACGTTAGCAAGACAGTTTACTAATTTATCACTAGAGCCATTAGAAGTAATATATCTGGAATGATATACTTATAATCATTCAACTTTTCCAAATGAAGTGAATACGTAAAGACAATATTGAACAGAGTTTTATATGCTGCCTCCAGAGAGAACTGCATAAAATCACATGTTATTCTCCCTTCCTTACTGTTTTTCGTACAAAGAAGTTTACCATGGTATTTAAGTTTCTCATTTTTTGTTGTAAAAGTTTAATAACAGAAAGCAAGGTTGTATGAAAATAATACACACATGAGAGACATTTCTGGTCTATATATTATGCACCAGGTATGAAAACGAATCTGATCCAGTTTCCTTCAGACTCATTGTATCGAAGTAGTTGCACACAGACTAGAAGTAAGAGACGCCTGGTTGAGGATTCTATGAGTTAATTCACAAATTATAAATAAGAGACACGTGTTTGAAGTTTTGGGATACTGTGAGTTAATTCATAGATTAGAGGGGAAAATCACCTGGTGAGGATACTGTAAATTACTTTACAGATTAAAATTAAGAGTCACCTGGTGGAGGTTTAAGGATACTGTGAATAATTTCTCAAATTGGAGGTAAGAAACATGTGATTGAGGGTATGGGGTTATTCTACTTTTACTTGAAAACACCTCTGATTTTATTATATTATTATTTGTTGTATCAGTCACCCATTGGATGTAGCTATACATTTGCAAACCGCAATCAAGCTGGAAT